TTTAAATTTCAGCAGTTTATGTAATTGGCTAATAAATGATTTATGATTTTTTATGAGGAAAAAAAAAAGGATGATCTTATTTTTTACATGTTTTTTTTTTATCTTAGGGGTTAAAATCCTCCTCATTAACCTGCTGAAATTAAACACATATCTGCAGAGCAGCTGATGCTGTGAAGGAGCACTGAAGCAGAAAAAGGCCTAATTAAAGTAACAGCAGCAACTGAGCTGATATGGGACTGAAGCCCTGCTGTAGTGACTGGTTCTGACTGAGATGATGACTCGGCTGCTATCTGGACCGGTCTCTGCTTCAAACCGCCCGTGATCTCCAGATGAACCCGTCCTGTGACCGCGGCGTTAGAGGAAGGCCGACGTCCTGCTCACCTGAACAGGACGATTAACAGCACAGCTGATGAAGGGAAACAGCAAAGAACACACCTTGTTCATAAGTCAGTGCAGCCGATGCTCAATCTGTCATCTCTGGTTTTCATGCTGGGACACATACCAACGGCATGAGGCAGGACATACCTGACATCAACAAGGCTTCAAAACCAAAACAAGCCACAGAAATTCTAAACATATGAATGATGAGGACCTGATTTCACAAACTGAACCAGGAATCCTTCACATTTTCCACATGGAAAGTTGATTTTTATTAAAGTTGAGAACAAATTGAATCTCCTGTAAATGTCCTCCATGGGGAACGGTGAAGGCGCTTCCTTCCTGACATCAGGAAGGAAAACCGGGTTTCTATTCACTATCAAAATCTGACAATAAAATCCATAAATGGAAAAAAAAAATTTTTTTTGTAAAGTTTTTTCCCCAAAAAAATTAGATTAAAAACATTTTAATGCATCCTGTGGATCAAGAACTGCATGTTCTTATTGGTGAACCAGACGAAGATGATAGAAGTGGAAAATGAACAAACATATTCAGGTGGGATTTCTAAACCATTTCTGCTCAATAGGAACAAATTAGAGGAGTGTGTTGCTGGTTGGACTCCTACCAGCCAGGAACAGGTGGGGGTGGGGGGTGTTTCCTTAAATATGAATAAATGTTCCTCAGAGAAGAAGCTCCGTCATGCAGCTGAGCTCAGCCTTACAACTCCAGTCGGCCACTCCTACTGGTGTAGACGTTGGCATGGTAACCACAAATAGTTTGGTTTTTGGACCCATCTAGATATATACAACTATTGTTTTCTACCTGTAAAACAAATTTTATTTTATAGAAGTGTAGTTGTTGCTTTATTATTTAAAAGTTGTTTTCATTTATTTTTGATCATCAAAGTGCGGGGCATATTTAAGACAGAAAAGCTGCAGCCTACAGGATGTTTTAAGTGTTTTTATTTAAAACAGTAAAAACTGGACAGGAATGAAGAGAAATGGACGACATACACGGTATGTTAAAAAGCTGGGCTCCTCAGAGCCGAGGCGTTCATGTTGGCTGAGCAATCAGCAAGTTGTCTCTAACTGGAGACATGGGCTTTGGTTTCTTAGAGGAGCTCATCTTCACAGGTTCCCTGAAAACAAACACACTGATGAGATCTGGATGTTCTGAGGAAACGGCTCCGACAGGCACTCTACTTCTTTAATGACAGAGGAAATGCCAACCTGTTGCTTAGATTACAGCGAGGAGTAAAACAGAAACGCTTTGCAGATGAAAATATCGGCCCTAAAATAAACATGAACCACTTCCTGTGACGGTAGAAAGCATCAGGCCACAGCAGCTCCTCTGAGCGACAAATATGGAGTCAGAAAGCAGTCAAAATGTTTGTTAAGTTCTAAACCTTCATATTTAATATGAAGTTTTTACCTCATAATGTGAGACACTAAAAAAAACATACATAAAATAATACAAATTGAATCCAAATTCAGTTTAATATTTTAATTACATTTTTCCTTTTTAATTTCTTTTTAGAAAGTGACTGACAGCATGCAGCAGCGCTGGAGACTTAGACAACTTCTATTGTCGCTTTGTAAACACATAGTGTCTACAAAATGACATTTTGTTTTGTATAGCTTTCAGACAGTGAAATGAACACTTCTATTTCCCAAAGTGCAGCAGTGATCAAATGTCCCTTTTCATGTTGCATTCATGGACTCTGGGACTGTGGAGCTACAACTACTTGCTCAAGAAGTTGGAGTTCCCACAGTTCATGAATGCAACATGGGACCAGACATCTCTCCAGCACTGCTGCAAGCTTTCAATCATGTTTCCCCGCCCACTCCTGTCAGATTGGGGTCACAATCTGAATGTGAAAAAAACTCATTTGAAAGTGTAAAAATAATCCTGAGAAAAAAAAATTCAAAAATGAATTTGAAACAAAAAAAAAAAAAAGAAAAAGAAACTTAAAGGGATTTGAAGTGTAATTAAAATACCAGACTGAATTGGGTTTTTTCATGCTGAGGGGAAGAATTTAGAATTCACTTTTTTAGTTTTTTATATTATACAGTAAAAATTTGACATTCAATATCAACTTATAGTTTTTCTGTTTCAACTAACATTTCTAAGTTTATAAACATTTTGACCCTTTTCAGAGTCCATACACAAACCACTGAGTTGGAGGAAAATGTTCACTAATATTCAATAAGATCCAACATCATCATCATCAGGACTTTCTTACTTCTTAAAGCTGAAGTTCTTCCAGAGGCTGCTAATGGTGGCCTGGACTCCAGGGTTGTTCTCGTTGTTGCTGGAGGAGCTTTTCTTCTTCCTCAGACCGCTGGCTCTGGCTGGGCCCAACATCGGCGAACCTGCCGCCTGGTTCCGAACGCTGGATTTCAGCCTCGACAGTCCAGAAACCTGGAGACAACAGGAAGCAGCTGCAGGAGGTCCAAACGTTGAAGACAGAAGTCCAACAGAGTGAACAGTAGGAGGAGGACAGAACCTGAGTGGCTGAAAACAAGCGGTCAGGAGAAGCAGGACAGAGCGTCAGCAAGGGATGATTTCAATCTATGGCTGCCTGTCAGTGGCCTCATTAGCGCCTTTATTAGCCACACCTTAAGGCCAACCATTAGCACTACCTCAGTCATGCTAGCCCACATTATGCTAGCCCATGGTTCAACAACCCATGTTATGCTAGCCCACGTTATATTAGCCCATGTTTCACCAACCCACATTATGCTAGCCCACGTTATATTAGCCCACGTTTCACCAACCCACATTATGCTAGCCCACGTTATATTAGCCCACATTTCACAAACCCACATTATGCTATCCCACGTTATATTAGCCCACGTTTCACCAACCCACGTTTCACAAGCCTATGCTTTGCTAGCCTGCGTTTTGCTAGCCTACAGAACCATGAACGGCATCAGAACCTTGCTGACTGATTCTTCGCTAATATCCATAAATCAGTTTCTGACTCTGAAGAGGAATTTGGGGAATTTCTGGATTCTCAAAGAAGGATTGATAAAAATACTTTTTTTCTCTGAAAATTAAGGAAAAGAAAGAACGTCTAGGAATCGGGTTAAGAAGGAATAAACCAACAGTGATCACAGCTCAGACTTTCCGCCATGTTCTCCAGCTGTGAAGGGAGCCAATGGAGCATCTGGAAAACCCACCTTGGAGCCCAGCAGGGCTGGTTTCCCAGTGGCCTCAGTCACAGGAGCAGGACTCCCTAGTTCTGGTTCTGAACTGGTCTCCTGGCAAAGAACAGAAAAAGAACCATCAGAACCTAAAGCAGAGGATTTAAACTGGTCCAAACTCCATTAAGATTCTGCTGCTGTTTTAGGAAGACTTACAGGGGAGAAGCTGCAGGGGAGGACCTCGTCTCTCTGGCTCTGGGAGAAGTAAGCGCTGTCCTGGGAGGGAGGAGAGTCTGGGGGGTTGTCCTTGTTCTCTGATTTCATCTCTGAGGGGGCGGAGCCTCCAGGAGGTGACCGAGCCTTCTGAAGACTGGAGGAGACGTCTCTCTGATACTCAAAGCGCTGCAAGGCTGCTAGGCCTGAGGGAGACTGTGCTGCTTTGCAGCGATGGGAGCCGCCTGACCACTGGAACAGCTTCAGGCCCCGACCAGCTGGAGCAGGGGACACAGGAGGGCTGGGGCCAGGGGACACAGGAGGGCCAGGGGACACAGGAGGGCCAGGGGCCGCTGCAGGGGGGCTGTCAGGACCATCGCTACCCCCAACAGAAGATCCCTCCACCGTGGGCTCCAAAGGTTCAGCAGCAGGCCTCTCAGTGCTTCCTGGACTCCAGCTGCTGAAGAATCTGGAAGGAAGAAGAAGAACAGTAGAGCTGAGGCCTAAGAGGCATCCCTAGACACAAACACACGAGATGCGAGAAGGAGAGAGAGGCTCATTGGTGGGAAACAGACCAATCAGGAGAAAGAGCTGCTCCACCTCATCAATCTGCTGCTGTCCTCCTCTCCTCACTACTGCTCCCAGTTGGTCCCCAGAAAACAGGTTGCAGGATTCCAGTTCCTGAGGGCCGCTAATGTAACTTTTAGACCTGCCTTTGGTTCAACACACCTTAATGAAGTAAATTGATGATTTAGAGGACTCTGGAGGAACTGTGTCCTGAGGAGCGAACTCAGCCATTTGATTCAGGTGTGTTTGACCAAGGATGGATCTAAAAAGTTGCAGGAACTGGAATCGCCCACCTCATCTATAAAACCTCTAGGATCATCTCCATCTGCTTATTTCCTGCACAGGATGAAGGTGCAGCAGTGGTTCAATCGTTAACCTCCATATAACGAGCTACAGCTGGGACTCTGCTCTAGATTTATAGAGATAGATGCTAGAGCGGGAAAGATGCAGACTTCCAGCACAATCAAACCAGCTGGAGAAAGGATGGTTCCTCAGAGTTTCCCACAGTGGCAGTGGGTGAAATGTCTCCTCCACTGTAGCACAGGCCGAGAGAGAGCTCTTCATCTTTTCTCTACTTGGCTGGTTTGAAGGATGAGAAGCTTGATTCAACAACAGGTTTATGGGCTGGAATCTAAGATCACAACCAATTACGGTCACAGCAGTGGTCACAGCACACCTGGCGCCCGTCTGAGAACCGAATATAGCCGAACTGATTGGACCGAATCAAACTGAATAGAACCAGGCCGAATAGAACAGACTCGAGCCGAATACAACCGAATCAAATAGAACAGAACTGAATAGAACAACACCAAATAGACCTGGACCAAATAGAATTCAACAAAATAGAACTGAATAAAAGAAAACAGAAAAAACCTGAACCAAATAGAAGAGAACAGAATAGAACCGAACTGAATAGAACACAATAGAATAAAACATAACCTAATAGAATGGAAACCAATAGACTAGAGAAGAAGATCTGGGACCGGCCCCCACAGAGGGTCCCACCCTCCTGGATGGAATCTCCTCCATGGGTCCCTGAGCTGCTGATTTGTTTGGACTCAAACAGCCATTCTAGAAACCCTACAGCTAGGCTTGTCTGTTTCACAGCCTAAAGCAAAATGTCAGTTTATTGGAGCATCTAGAATCTGTCAGGAAGGCTGACACCGATCTGATGCTGCAGCTGCCGTTTCTCTGTGAACCAATCTGGAAGCAGCTGCTAGTTTAGGCTCCTTGAACTGAAGAGACTTTTCTAAAGAAAACTAAACCGCTAGATCAAGAACCAATCAGAGGCTGTGGTTTGCTGATGACATCACCTGCTGTGGGTGGGCTGGCTGCCGTTCTCCTCCTCCTCCTCGTTTCTCCTCTGCAGCAGCGTTGCGGAGGCAAAGCAGTTACGGAGCCGAGGCTGGCTGCTGCTGACCGTCGGCCTGCCGGCTTCTGGCTTGGTTCGTTTGGACCCTGAGGGGGAGTACTGCTGCAGCACCTCCTGGTCTGAGAGACAGGACTCTGGAAGACAGAAAAGACCTCTAATTAAAAAAAAACTTTCTTATCTAAATGTTTATTTGGTTTAAAATTTTTTATGACTTTAATATTCTGGAGTCAAATAAAAATGTCTGAGTTCTTCTTCCAGCTCACCTTCTCTCCTCCTCTTCATCAGCTGCTCTCTGTGCTGAAACCTTCGGTGATCCCCACCAGCGGCTCTCTGCTGCTCCCTGGTGGAGGGCATCCCGTCTGCAGCAGCTGCTCTGAAGTTCCTGCTCCAGATGCTGGTTCCTGCTGGAGCCCTGGAGCTGCTGGACTGGAGAGACATTTCCAAACATTAGGGGCTTGATGCCATCGCTTCTGATATCCATTCCGACCTTCATCAACAAGAGAAAGGATACCTGGGGGCGGGGCTTGTCTGGACTAAAGTCATCTATCCTCTCCATAGTGTTGATGTCCAGGTTTCCCAGCGCCAGATCCAAGCCTTTGTCTTCTCCTACATTTCTGAACACGTCATTAAGGGGGAAATCTCACTGATACTAAAAAGCCATGAGGTGAAAGAGAGCATCAGAGACAGAGGATACGTTCCGGCGTAGCTGAGGGAGGCTGGGTCCACGTGCTCTGGGTACGGATTCAGAGGGACCACCTTCCTCCTGACAGGATCAAACACCAGCTGGTACAGGAAGGTGTTATTGGCTCGGATGAAGCCCTCAATGTACTGATCCGGAACCACCAGGTTCATCTTCAGGTACTGACCCATCTTCCTGATAACCTGGTGGGAGGAGGAGGAGGTTCAAACATGTGGTCGTCTCCACCAATAAACAGACCAGAACTAACAGAACAGAGCATTTGAAGGGAACTCATGGTCTAGTTCTGCCCCCTAGGGGAGGGATGTAGCACCAACATTTTAACACTTTCACCTTCCTGTTTTATTTATCTATCATACAGCTTTTATTTTTTTAAAAATTCGAAACTATTATTTACACTAAAAGCAGAACGGTCTGAGTTGGACATTTTCCTTCAGTAGTTTTTTATGCCCCTGATAA